CTATACAAAGTTAGAGATGCCAGGAGTATGATACATACACCTAGTAAGCCAATAGACATTAAATGAGATTGAGGCCATATGGACTACAAACTTTAGTCGGGCTCACATATATTCACAACACGTCAAATGAGTTAAACATGGAACTAAATGTTTTAATGTTTGGTCTACTCAGTTATATTCTTTGGTTTCCTTCATTTGTATTCCATTATTTATCTTGTTCAAAATGGACAAATTGAGCTGGGGAGATGGCTCAGTGGAATAACCACTTTCCTGGCAAGTGCAAAGTCCTGAGTTTAATGCCCGGTTTCTAAAAAAAAAAAAAAAAACATATTTACTATGTCCCTATGTATTTTGGAAGCTTGTAATTTTATTTTATCTGTTTTCATAGGAGCTCAAAGCTAGAAGTTGCCTCAAGTCTCAGAGGAGATTTCAACTTAGGCTTGTCATAACTGCTGGAACTTTTAAGATACTGTTGACTATAGGAAATATGCTAACTTAATTTTGCATAATAAGGTGGACATGAATCTTCTTGGGACTATGTGTTCAATGCAATATCTTAAATTAAAAAAAGAGTCTCCCAAAAGTCTCTTGTGCTAGGAGCTTACAGGCTCTATTTTTATGCATATATTTATACAATGAAGAGTTCATAGCTGTTTGTGCTGCTAGAGTGTGTACTGGGGGTGGGGAGCCAGCCAGCTAGTTCAGTGGACTAAAACCACTGCTTAGGCAGGAACAGGCACAGGGGTTCGATCCCCAGAGTGCCATGCTGGCGCCACCACTGAGGCATGCTGAGATAGCAAAGGAGACTGGGTATAGTGGCATGCACCTGTAATCCCAGCAATTGTGAAGCTGAAAACAGGAGGACTACTACGAGTCTGATCTTTGTAGTGAGACACTGTAGATCCTGTACTAAATACATAAAAAGGAAAGTGTGTCATGGATGCAGGGGTAGAATGCTTGCCTTTGGATGGACTATCTCCCACACAAGTTCTTTCCTTATGAATCCTTGACTTTATTGCCACCATACAGTAAACAGATCTCTTCTGACACGAGTTTCTTATATATAGTTTCATTCCTGAAGCTATCTAGGCATGGATTGAATACAGTAAAAATGTGAGCCAAATAATCATCTACTTCTTTAGTGTTGTGGGGGTCAGGTATATTTTTTCAGTGACGGGAAAGTGACTAACACACTCCCCGTAGAAATTCCAGGTTACCAGTCACCTAATATCCCACCTCGGATCTCACTTCTCCATCTGCGCAACTGAGTTCCAAGGATGATGACCAGAAAAAGCAGGGCTCCCAGAATGATGCAGATGATCACAGGTAATGAAAAGAAACCTGGAACAGGTATTGATACAGAACTGGTACGGGAAGAGTAAGAGGCAATCAGTCTTTAGAGTATATTAAAATTTATTTTTTGACATGAGGATCACTCTAAAATTAATTTCCTTAGCATTGGAAGCACTGGGGCTGTTACAGTTGGATGGAATTTTGTTACTTTGAAAGCTTATCATCTGGTCTACTGAAATATTGCATAAATAGAAAGACTCTGTAGTGCAGGTACATGAAAATCTAATCATCACTCTATGCCCTGTCTCAAAGTAGAAGAACCACTTACTTCTCTGAAAGGATGAAATTTTTCTCATTTTACCTGCAGAGAAAAGAAGAAAAACAGAATCATTGCACTTGATAGTGTAATTATTAGTGCATATACTTCTCCTCCAGATATCATGAGCTTAGAGCACAGCTTCTGGGGAACCATGGCTGAAGAAAGAGGTCAGTCTTAGATGCACACTTGTACAGCTTCAGCCCTTGACTCTGGTCCTGGCATTCACCTGAGCACCTTACACCAGTATCCTCCTCATGCTTGCAGTCACTCTGTCCCCAGGGTGCACTAGCACAGGCCCACAGTGAGGACTCGCCCCAGCACTGCACCTCATCCAGCCAGATGCTTCCATTTCCAGGGCTGAATGCAGCTTCTCCCAGGGCATCCAGGGCAGGACCACAGCCCAGCTGCTGACACACCACCTCGGCCTCTTCCAGGCCCCAGGAGTCATCACACACTGTGCCCCAGGAGCCTTTGTGCCATACCTCCACACGCCCTGAGCACTCAGTGTCTCCACCCTTGAGCCGCAGCTTCTCTTTGTCTAGAAAAGGCAACAGCATCTCCTTTTACTTCTCTGGTGGGTGGAAGAAGCCCATGGGAACCATTAGAGTGGTAGGAAGGACTGAGGTACCTGTGCAGGAGTCAGTCGCTGGACATCTCTTGTGTCTTGTCCCTACAGAAGAAGACAGTGGTGTAACACTAGGTCAGGACTGGCTGGACAGAGTTATCCTCCAAATCAAAGATCTCTAAATACTGAATTCAGTCCAGGTGACAGTGATGGATAAAAGTCTCTAAAATTAGTTTAGTAGTTTGCTTGCTGTGATTTCACTGGCTCAAAATTTATCAAAAGTTAAAATTAATTTTTCATCTCTATTGCATCACAGTTACATTTCCATACGAAACACAAACACAACGTGCCAAATAAACACATACACTAGAAATCAGGATCTTTAACAGAAAACCTCACAATTCCTTTGTTCGTGTGTCAGGACCGCGTCTATTGTGGTGGTCTGCATCATCAATAAATAAGTGCAGAGAACCTCCTCCATGTACTGTGAATAGAGGTTTGTAACCATTTTGAATGAGTAGATATGTTAATCCTAGTAGATATGATTCATTTCACTTCTTGATAATCAGATAGAAAAAGACAAGAAAGTACTAGCATTGATTTGTGCTAATAAATACTGAATGTTAATATAATTTGTAGATAATTAC